GGGGGATAGGGCCTTTCTTCACCTGAGCTCCGGACTTCAGGAAAGCCCAGAATCGAGGCCGGGCAGACCCAGGCGTGTCGTCACAGGGCAGCTCTGAGTCCTCTGGAGCGGGGAGCAGGCCTGCTCCGTGTGGCCCCCCAGCACGACAGAGGAAGCTGCCCCGCACCCAGTGGTGTGAAGCGTGGCTTCCTTCCCTGGCCCAGCAGGGGTGGGCTGAGTAGGGTGAACAGCCGGCGGGTGGTGAGAAGGTAAACAACAGCAGGGGTGGGTGAGAATGGTGAAGCAGCAGGCAGGGGGGTTGACCGAAAGTGAAGCAGCAGGCAGGGGGTGTGAAAGTGGAAGCAGCAGGCAGGGTTGGTTAAGGTGAAGCAGCAGGCAGGGTGGGTGAGACAGGTTAATCAGCAGGCAGGGGGGTGGGTGAGAGTGAAGCAGCAGGCAGGGGTGGGGGATAAGGTAACGCACAGCAGGTGGGGTAGAAGTAAGCAGCAGGCGGGGGTGGGTGAGAAGGGTAAGCAGCCAAGCAGGGTGGGGTGAGAAGGTGAAGCAGCCAGGCAGGGTGGGGTGAAGCAGAGGCCAGGGGTGGGTGAGAAGGGTAAGCAGCAGCAGCAGGGTGGGCTGAGAAGGTTGAAGCAGCACCAGGCCCCAGTGGAACTGAAAGGGGTTAAGTCAGCAGGCAAGGGTGGGGTGAGAAGGGTTGAAGCACAGCAGGCAGGGGTGGACTGAAAGGGTTGAAGCAGCAGCAGCAGGGGTGGGCCTGAGAATGAACGCAGTCGGGTGTGAGAAGTGAACACAGGCAGGGTGGGTGAGAAGGGTGAAGCAGCAGCAGCAGGTGGGGGGAGAAGGGGTGAAAGCACACAGGCAGGGGTGGGGAGAAGGGGTGAAGCGAAGCAGCAGCAAGGGTGGGCTGAGAAGAGGCTGGGCGGATGGGGTGGCCGGATTCCCTCAGGGAAGCCCACGCGTGCGGTGAGGCAGTCTGGATCAGCACCAGACCCGGCAAGCCCCCAGCCGCGTCAGGAACCGCAGGTCTGTGTTGTGCTTGGCAGCGGGCAGTAACGGCCGCTGCGTCGGTCTCTCGGGTCACCGTGAGGCGTGACAGGAGCAGAGCGGTCCAGTGCGTCTCGAGCAGACCCCGGCCTGGGACCCCGTTCCCCGACGGCGCTTCTCAGGCGGGCCATTCGTCTCCTGAACTCACTGCGTCTCTCCGGTGTAGGGGAAGCCCGCATCTGCGTCCCCCCGGCGGCACCGGAAGCCCAGCCTCTGGAAAAGCCCTGGCAGCGTAACTACTGGCCCTGACTTCGAGCTTGCAAGGTCCTGGGTGGGTTACCTGGCCTGCCCTCACCAAACCCGCTGGCGTTTACGCCCGTAGGCGCTACCAGCTGGGCGGGGCTCCTGCTCCCCTGTCGAGCCGGCCGTCCCTTGTGACACCCGACCTGGCAGGGCTCCGTCACGCCCTGGGCCTGAGCTCTACTCGGGAGAGACCGTCACATCCGGCGGCCGCAGCACTGCATGGAGTGGAATGTGAGTCGCAGGTGGGCGCCGTGGGCGGAGGACCCTCACGGCCAATGGGGAGGAGGAGGGAGGGACAGGGAGGCGGCTCAGGAGAGGCGTCCGGGCCCTCCCTGGCCTGGGGCCGAGTCACAGCTCGGCGCCCCTGGAGGGCTCCGCAGCCTGCCGCAGGCGCGCCCAGTCCTGCGCAGTCTTCTGCAGGGCCTGCGTCTTCTCCTCGTCCACCTGGACATAGTGCACCTCCTCATGCGGGGGGACAGCGGACTGGGGTGGCTGCGGGGACAGGGTAGGGGTGGGGCTCGTGAGCGGCCAGTAAGGGGGCCGAGGCCGTGGGTGCGCTCTGAGCTGTCGGAGGGGAAGGCCCCGCCTGCCTCCCCAGCTGGCCCCAGAGCGGAGCCGGCTTCTTTCCTGCGTGTGGGCTTGGAAGCCTGAACTCCAGCCCGCCGTCCCTCCCGCCGGATGCCATGGCCCTGCCAGCTCTTCTTACCTCCCCGCTCCTGGGAGGACCAGCCCTTCCTCAGCCTGGTGCCAGCCAAGGCTTCCGCCTCGGCCTTTGCCACCCTCCTCTGGGCA